TAATTGGGGGTGGCACTGCTTCGTCCTCACTTGCTTCGTCGATTTCCTCGTCGTCGAGATCAACCTCATCGTCGGGGAGACCGTCAGCATCGCCACCCTCCTTTGATTTTGAGCGATGGTTACAGAAGTGGAAGAAACTATTCCATTGTTAGCTATCTCCATCATTGTCAAAAGTGAAATGCGCCCTTACCTGTTTTCCACTCGGTCAGTTTTGCTGTCGACGACTTGTTGAATGTCCTGATGGGCGAATAGCTTCAGAACCAAGGGAATGTAATTGGAATCAAGTAGGAGCTGGGTGAGATATTCGAACTTCAAAACGTCTGGGGAATCACCAGTCAGCATAGCCATATAGAAGCCATCGGAGAATATACTTACGTGAGAGTCTAAGCCACTTCAATAAAAGCAAAAGAATGGCTGTCATTGCCTTGGATGTGATTTCCCTCGTGCGTGCAGCGTCGATATCTTCCCCCGATGTGTCTGACATGTCTTGCTGAGAGCCATCAGGAGGCCGAGGAATCTGCCCGCCATTAACTCCTGGGTTCATACCTCTGCCCATTTGGCCAGGCTGTTGCTGATTCGGTTGCTGTGCTACAATCGCTGTGACATTTGCCAGAATCGGACGCAGCAGCACAATAACTAGTGACTGGAGGTGGGGAAGAGCGTCTCGCTGCTGAAGTTAGAATCAATATTCTCAGAGAAGTGAAAAACACTTTGTATATGACTTACGTAGAACTTCTCTACGGCTTCTAACCGCTGCTTGTCTCTCGGGCTCAGCTGCTCAGGGCGAGGCCCGAAATCTGGTGCGAAGTCTGACGAGGGTGGTTTCTTCTCCTTCATCTCCTCCGCTTTCAACTCTTGTATGATCTCGCGCTCCTCTAGTGAAAGTTCATTGAGATCGAGGTCGTCAATTTCATCATCCTCCTCATCTTCGCCCCAACCGCGCTCATATTTGAGGAACTTTTCACGCTCCTCCCACAACTGTCTGGTGGCACGAGTCATCCTTACTCGACTGGAAAAGAGTTCTCCAGCTTCTAAGATTGAGGCAGGAATATCGCTCCCCTCCCACTTGCGACTAACAAGTGCTTCGTGAAGATCTGACATGCCCTTTCCGCCGGCACTGTTGCTAGTGGCATCTAGTGGAGGGTACATGAACGGGAAATTCTGGTTTGTTTGATAATTCTGTTTCTTGCCTCCCTTGCCTACTCCCGGCGAAGGTGGCGGCGATGGGGCTGGTGTGGCAATGTGAACGGGTTGATTCAGGATCGAGCTTCCCACATTTTGAGCATTAGTATTGAACGGTGTAATGCCATTTGCCGCGCTAGTTCGTGTGGTATGGTTTGGTAAAGGGGGTAGGAGAGAGGTATTCTCTGGCTCTAATGGGATTTTTGGCTGGGGGGGTATGTAAGCCGGATATTTAGATGTGACCTCTTGTCGAAAGACATGGTAGTCCAGCGGAGATGCTGTAATGGTTTCTTTGGCCGGCCCGCCGAATTGCTCACTTGTGGCTTTCTTGACAGCTTGCATTTCTTTGCTACCTCCAAAAACCAACAGGATAGATTTCCAGAAGAGTAAGAAGATCTAGGCCAACATTAGTCTCAAATCATCGAGTTCACGGGAACAAGCTGAATGCATACCTGCATATGTGGCATGATGTTATGGTCATCCCATCGAAGCTTGGATGTAGCCGTCATCATAAAGTCGACCAGGGAAGGGTTTAGATCAACTGAGGTCATTGTCAGAACCTGCTTCGCTTGTTTGGATTGTATATCTCATGGACTGAACCTACGTAGCTTGTTATAGGCAGACGACATGTCCTCTGGATCATTGAGAGTCTCTTGAATGCAAACGTACAAGATGGTCATGAGATTAACAAGCTCATCTTGTGCCTCTTGCGGGCTGTTGCCCTGATGGGCATCGCCGGACCTAAAACGATGGCAATTAGTTGGCTGGTCACAATGATATACCCGCGCGAGTCCCACAATGAAGCACATACCAATGCAGCTCGAAGCTATTCTTGAGCGCTTCCCAAATGACCGGTAAGCCTTCGAGGGAGGTAAGACACTCAACACCCGCCTTGATAGCCCGTAACTGAGAGATACTGGCCACAGACTGGCTGTCACCACTGGTCGCATTTGCCATGGCCGTATCGCCCCAACGTCCAAGCACCAGATAGACCAGCTTTCCAATAGACGCCGATCGCAGAGCTGCGTCGTTGGACTGGACACCCGCAATAGCTGACTGCACGAAGCGCGCCCTGGTATCATTGTCGGCGTCACCCCACGTCTTGTACGATGCGTTGTTCTCGTTCTTCCAGTGCCAATCAAAGGCCCGCCGCGCCGAGTTCAGCCTCAACCACTGCCAGAACTGGTAATTGAACCATTCGTCAAGCTCCTCCGCGTGGGGCCCCATGTCTGAGTATTCAAAGTCGTAGGCGGGCTGTTCGATGCGGTTGACTTCAGCGACGATGCGGCGGAGCTGGAGGAGGGACAGCGAGTCCGTGGGCGCCGCCTCTACGGCTGTCGACTGCGGCGGATCCGGTGCCGGCGAGGGCGCCGGGGGAGCAGCTTGCATCGCATTCCGCTGGAGGTGAGGCCGTGTTGGGAGTGCGGGAGCAGGAGGATCTGGTGTTTCGACGTTTGCACCGATGGCTATGAACTCGCCCGCGTCCGCGACGTCGCCCGCTGGCCTCGATACATCGCCCTCCTCGGAGAAGAGGGGGGCCTGGTCAGGCGCAGCTCCGTCCGCCCATGGTCTCTCCATTTTTCATATATGTATCTTCGGTCACGTTGAGTGGTTGCGGGGGCTCATGATGACGGCGCTGGAATCGATGGGGTCAATCTTATCTACACCATGACACCTCGTGGTCATAGGTGGTTTGCGATGGTCGTCCCGAAGTTGACTTTTGTTTTCGGTATATGGCGTGGGTGTCTTCTTGATTTTAGTTCGTGTCGTAGACGATCTCGAAGATGTTGTCGTCTGCGTGTGGATAATTGCTGTTAGCTACATAATCGCTAAGCGTCTGGTGAGTTGTAGAGCTACGAACAAGGCTGTCTGATTGGCTACCCAGTTGAAACAACCCGAACCTCAAGGATCGCCTATAGTGGGCTAAATTAGTGCCCTGGACCACTAATTCATACCTCAACTCGCATAACTTCGAGGCAGCTACATCATTGGAGCAAATTTTGAGATTTAATATATAGATATATCATGACAGGTCACTCGAATCGTCGAGAACTTAAAAAATCATTAAAAAAGGGCAGGAAGGTGCTCTGTCCATTTGATATGCATAGATACGTATGAGTGTAACTTCCACTCTCAACAAGGCGTTACATCATCTTCTACTTATTCCTCAGTTCCCGCCGAGTCACCATCTGATTCTCCAGCGCCATCCTCGCCTCCAGCCCCTCTAGCTGCAATCTTCTTTTCCTTCTCTTTAGCTCTTTTCCTCAGTTTTTTCAGCCGATTCATCCTCTTCTTCTTGTCTTTGACTTGCTCCTCTTTCTCGGCAGCTTGCTTCGAGGCCGCCTCAGCCTCCGCCGCCCTCTCCTTGGCTTTCACCCTGAGTGCAATCCGTTGCTTTTTCCCTGGCCGTTTCTTCTTGTTTGCGTCTTCGTTTTCTTTGCTAGCATGGGCGGCAGGTCCGCCCTTTCTTGTCGCGGTGATGTGTGTTACTCTCCAAGGATACTCCATTCCCCAGAACCGTTGGCGAGATCGCTCTAGGACGTCTTGCCCAGACACAGCTGAGAAGTCGTATTCCTTTTGTAACTTCCTGGAAGGTCTCCCCGGGAAATAGAATGCGTACGGCCGCGTTGGAACCAATCCTCCTTCACCATCTGATTCGCTGTCGTCCTCCAACACGACCTTTGTTGGCACAGCACCAGCACCTCCGAAGAGACAGAACTCTAGCTCCCCGTTTCCATCCTCAATCTGGGCGTCAGAATCCTCGCCGGAGCCAGGCCGCGATCTTTCAGGCTGGCGCTGGGTCTCCGTCTCCGCGGGACCTATCTTGATTTTTTCTTCCAGTCGCGCTTTAAACTGAGCACGGAGAACTACATTCTCCTCATTATCAGAGTCTTCTGAACAGTCAGATCCATTGAGCTCTTCACGGCGGACTCTGCACCATGAGTTAGCAGGGGCGTGGGTTCGGCATATAGTAATCACGTACCTCTTCGCTTCCGGAAAGTCAAACATTTTGTTTTCCTCTGTAGGGAAGCAACAACAGAGCAACAAACTTTCCTTGTGGCCTTGAAGATGAGCTATCTTCTTGATCCCCTTTTCGCTATTGCTGTCCGCGTTGAATGTCTAAATTTTGGCTAGACTGTGGGTCCTCCAACAACACTAAACACCAATCATAGCCCCACTTCTTTAAACGTCGCGCTTACAAGCAAGACACTGGTGGGAGCAAATGAACAACCCGTTACATATGGCAGACCGGTGAATGTACGATCTAAATAGTGGAAATGTCTGGTTACCTTATGCAGGTCTTACACCCCGGCCAGTTGGGCGTTGGATGGCAGAAAGGCACCATCTTTATCAAAAGAATAGCCAACAATCTGCATAGCAACCGCCCACACCAGAACGAGAAAACCGAAGAGGAACGTCTTTCTCGAAATTAGGATGGGGTGCAGGACTCATTTTCTTAGATCTCTCATCGTATATTGATATCTCTCTCGTTCGATTGTTAACCGAAAATCAACATTACTCCAAACCATGTACACCATGGCTTTTCCTGCTTTCTTTGGGTATCTGTAGGAAGTGTAATTAATTCCGAAAGCTCAGAGAGTATACAGTCAACAATCATCATACCGCTTCAATTAATCAAATAGGACTAACACTCAGCAATATTTATTGCATTCTTGCACCCAATCACGAGATTCCGAGCACATCGACCTGTTGAACCTGGACTGGCCACCCTTTTTTCTCTTTTGCGTTTCCTTCCATAAAGTCCATACACACAGCTCTAGTATGATCCCTCTGGTCGAGAGTACTCACTATAGTCATGAGACGGGAGCTTGCAAAGCTGCAGCCTCTTTAGACCAGTCCCCAACTAAATATGCATGCGCGAGGCGCAGCCCTAATAATAGGCGATCAGGATCTTCTTCATCTGTCGTCTGCTTCTTGATGAAATCCAATTTCTCAAGAAGATCAGTTGCCTCCTTGGTGCGATGACTATGCAGATATGCGAGAGCAAGCACCACCTCTGATTGCAGGCGAATATGTTCGTCTTCAGCTAGGGTTTGTCTATAGGCAGAAACGATGTGCTTGAGAATATCAATTGCCTCCTTGAAACGATCACATTCCATATATGAGAAAGCAAGCATTGTCGCGGATTCTTGGCGAAGATGATCATCTTCAGGTAGCGTTTGTTTTTGAACCGAGACAATATGCTCAAGAATATCAATTGCCTTACTGGAACAGCCAGCTTTTTTATATGCAGTAGCTAGGTGCGACTCTGACATTAGGCGATTAAAGTCGTCTTCAGCTAGTGTTTGTTCCTGGAGCGAGACACGATGCTCAAGGATTTCAATCGTCTCCTTGAGACCATGCTTCTGATATATAGAAGCAAGGTTGAACTCTTTGCACAACTTGAGTTCGAAATCTGCGGACGGAGACAGATATTCTTTCGCCCCATCCACAGCTTCCAGAATGTATGTCAGTGCCTCTATATCGCGCCCTTGTTGTAGTAAGACCAGGCTAATGTTACAGCGCAGGAGAAAGTGCTGGATCAGAGGACTTGTTTGACATTGACCCAACAATCTCAGCCCATGTGGCAAGAAAGGCCGCAAAGAAGCAGACTGACTTGGTCGCGGATCCGCCAAGAGCGAACTCATTTGTATCACCGCTTTGTCAGTTGTCTGTTCCGTCCTGCCTTGCAGTTTGATCCAGGAGTGGGTTGCCAAATGGACCAAGCGGTGCATATCGAGAAGCTGATCATCCTCTCTCTGTGAGACAAAGCTATAGCCGCACAGCGTACCTATTGCGTCTTCGAATTCTTTACTTTCATCAAAGCCAGGCAGCATCGAACGTGGAATAGCTCGAGGTTCAACCCAGGCCATGAACATAAGCAAATCTGCTGCTCTAGGGTCCGTTTTAAGAATCTGGCGGAATGATACAAGCCAGGTGGAAAGAACGGCACTTGGTGTGCCCTTGTATCGCGCTGGGTCGAAGAACTCGGTGCTCATCACACTCATTTCGGTCTTGCACGCAGATTTCAATAGGCTCAGGTACCTCTTGAGAGATAATTGCCGATTGTTATTGAAATACGCTGCGGCTTGAACAATGGCCAACGGGAGGTAGGTCAGCTCTTCCAGGAGTTCCGCAACGAGCCCCTTGTCCCGAAGGATTTTTTTTCTTATCAAGGATTTCTCAAGAATGTCTTTGGAGTCCGCCGCATTCATGCACTCCAATTCAACAACATCAGACCCCGCAAATGACGTGGAAATCTGCCGTGTTCTTGTGGTGAGAAGGATCAGTCCGTCTTCCCTCACAGGGAGATACTCTATGAGACCGGGTCTCCCTGGAGTACCATATATGAGAGACTTATCATCGGCATTGTCGACGATCATGATCCATTTCCCCGATTCATTAGAAGTCAGATGGATTCGTACAGCATCCCCGATGTCCTGATCTGGTTCTGTCTCTCGAACTTGAAGTTTGTCGAATATCTCAACATATACTTGATCAAAACTCGCACGGCTGAGAGCTGGAACCCAGAATATTGAGTACTCTGGCTTGTTTTTCTTAACCCAATAGGCAAACTGCAATGCCACCTGTGTCTTTCCGATGCCTCCGAGCCCATCCAGTGCTACTCGGGTGCGACCTTCCACAAAGAAAAGATGCCGGATGTCTTCAAGGGCTGATTCTCTTCCCACAAACTTTTTGTTTTCGAGAAATGGCAACAGGTGGAGAGGTTGCTTCGACACAGAGCTTTTCAGTCCGGTCTTGAGGCCTTCAGTCACAACATGGTTAGCATCGTACAGATCATCTCATTCAATCTCTCCATTTCTATCGGAGACCAAAAAGGTTCTAGGCTCTCAAGTTTGCAAGCCGGAGTTCAACGCTTTCCTCAGAAGTCCCCTCTTGTCCCCCTGTTTCAAGGTTGCACTCACCAATCTGCATGGCCTTTACATATAAATCCTTGACATTGCATAGGACGATGTTCAGGTTGTCCTGATCAGTCATCTCCGAGCCGAACCTGCACACTCCTCCATGTCCGGCGTCCAGTCTTACTACGTGCTCGCGGTCGCCGGGCATCCCTAGTCGTGAGTTGTCTTTCAGAACAATCTAGAGTTCAGTGTTAGCAATTATTCCAATGACTCAGTCGAAGTTTTTACCTTATCTGAACCACCCCAGAACGATATGATATCATACTGGAGGATTTGGTGTCTCCAATGCTCTCGTAAGACGTCTGAGAACATGCTTCCTTGCTTCAAGACTTCTAGAATGTTGTCTCCTTGTCGGAAGCCCGCTTTGTCGGCAATCTTAGCCAAAACCTCTCCCAGGCTCAAGACATTCAAGTCTACGCCCCTGTGAGGTGTCGCAAAAAAGCTTATACCGCTCGTAGCATCTTTGATCGACTTGTATTTCGGGTTGTTATGGGCGTTGATCAACGCTTGCTTGATCAACAAACCACCCAGGCTATGGCCCAAGAATAGAATCGGGCGGGTTTGCATATCATCCCTCTCGATACGGACCGCCTCTAACAACTCGTCCGCCTTGTCAGAAAACGTGCCCTGGTCACTTCCGTAGACTGCTGCTGCGTTGTAGCGGTAGAGAAAGATCCGGGCACCGGGGAGCATCTTCGGGAGGTCATCACGGAGCCAAAGGCGGCCGTCAGCAGAGCGCCATGTATCCCAGGCGTGGGCTTCATCTTTCTTGTTCCGAGGATTCAGGCCGTGGACGGCGATTATGCTGTTATTGTTAGATGATTTTCGTGTTTTGATTGTTGCTGGAAGACTCACTCAACTTTCTCCTCGATGGACGTGTCTCCAGCCTCCGGGTACAGCTGGCGTAGAGGCTTGGAACTTGTTAGCTGGCAGTTATACGGAAGGTCTCAACTACTAACCATTCTTTCCAAGCTTCAACAGGAGGTTTCTACTTTTCAAGAGGTTGTGAAAGAATCTGAAAAGCAGCAGTGCCTTATTTTGCGGTGCGGCTGATGTACCAACATGGCCCAACTGATCTTATCCAATCACGCACCAGAATCTTTGCATCTCAGTACAAAACTTAGTTCATCTGAAACTCGTCACGCCAGCCCTGTTTACCCAAAGTGTGGGTTGCCACCCCTCCTGGATTAATATACAGACTCCTTATTGTTTCCTCGGAGCTGTTTGGGTTGGCCAAGACTTTTCTCATTCTCACCTCTCTTGCAAACATATGGACTAATCATCCGCGTGATACGTTCATTGAAGAATTTAGCATCGGCTAGATTCCCAAGATCTTCTTTGGCTTTCTCTATAGCCAGCTGATAGCCAAGTGACTGAAATAAAGCATGGCACACCAAAGCCTCCATACAGCCAAGTGGGTGAAATAAAACGTGGCATACCAAAGCTCTTTTCGGGTAAGGTAGGGACCTAATTTTTTTACTAAATACCATAAGAAGAGAATAATAAACTATTCTATGATATCAAGCTTGATATTGTATCTAGTACTGGGTTGTTTATTGTGATATTATATTAAAATTCAATACTGAACTATCTCGACGTGCCATGTTTTGTTTCACCCACTTGACAGCCTCAGATTGCGACACAATATCAAACAATTAACCCAGGAATTTGATACCTCTAGCTTGCACGAAAAGAGCCCCGGTATGCCATGTTTTACCTCAGCCGCTTGATAGCCCTGTGTGCCGATCGACCTTGGCTTCTCCCAGCCTTTTCTATTCATATCTCAGTCACGCTGACGAGAGCAAAGTGGTCCACCATATAAACACCATGTGGATCATCTATGCCAATAACTGAAGATGTATATGTATCATAAGCAGGGATATATATAGATATATTAGTCCAAGTACCTCGTACATTTATCCCAGCCATTGAGCTTCCAGTCGCTGTACTACCTGGATCAGCTCTTCCTACTATTTACTGAGGTACCAATCACTCAATGCCAAGCCGATGCGTAGGTACATACTAGTAGTATATGTACAGTTCTCGCCATCTTTGCCTTGAAACAAAAGCGATCAGGCCTGTGTGCATGCTATTGTACATTGTGGCCTCTGATGTTCCGCTCAGCATTAATATGCACAAGGCAAAAATGAAACCGGGTATCGTCCACTTGCTTTCCTCCCACACGCATTTGCATCGCTCCTCAATCCTGCCTATATAGGGCCAAGGCCCATTTCAGGTTTGCTTTCATGTATATATATACTTCCTTCAGCACCAAGAGCCAAAGCTCACACGTGCTGCCGTAAAATCCTGGTTGGTATGCTCCCACGGTCCTTTAGTGAACACTCATGGTGGCTACTCATTCCCCGAAAGTGATATCATCACTTCATTGAAATGCACACGAGGCGCCATGCCATACTCGGCATAGATAGCTCACCATATGTTCCTTACAATCACCAACCATCCTTCTTCCCCTAACCCGGCGCTGTAACTACCTCCGACATTTGCCGCGATATAATTATAAGGATGTTGTGGAGTCATTGCTTCGACAACATTCATGGTTGTACACCTCGTTCGCCTCGAGCCACGCTGGATATGCCAGGCAGTCTGAAACCCGCCGCCATGTCTGTTGAGGCGATCCCAGTATCGTTTCTCTCGTTTCGGCCGTTATTCAGATTAGCTGTTGCTCCATGAGTAGTTGTTCATGGCATCGAATGAGCCGCGGTGGCCACTACTGTAGCTTTCCGGCTGGCTGGTCTGGGCCTCGGTTTTGATCTGAGAGCCACTTACTCGGCTCTTCTGGTGATCATACGGGGATGTATATGGGTGACCCTCAGGTCCAGAATACGCCAGTATCGAGCTATCGCCCCCTGAAGAGGTCGTCCAAGATTGTGTCGGGGGGTAAATCTCGCGCTGCCCCCCTTGGCTCGTGACCGGCGCATCAGAGTTGAAGGAGGGTTGGGGAATCTCAGTAGATGTACTGGGTATGGTTGTATAAGATCCATAGCGATATTCGGAAGTAGAGTCACTGTTTCCAATCGATCCAGAGCTGTGCACGGACTGGTGGCCAGCATTGCGGAACGCCTTGGTTGGCCTTCCTTCGTCCACGTAACGTGGGACATTGACTGCGCTATCGGGGCCTATTTGGGTCGTAGGATCCATCGCCATCTGGCGAGGTGTTGTGCTGGACTGTATATATGTGTACTGAGGTCGTGAGTGGTCATCGTCCGATAACAGCGATAGAGATCCTGAGGGAGCCATGGCGGTTTGAAGAGAGGTCTCTTGAGGGTCGGTACTGAAACTAGCTCCGCTCGATGTTGGCACCTTTTGGTAAAGGTCTGTCCCCATCGTAGTGGGAGGCCATGACCCAGATGTGGAGGATGGTACCGGACCCAAAGAACTATGAGCCGCAGGAGCCCAAGGCGAAAATGTGCTGAGGATAGTATGTTAGTATGGAGCTAACAGACAAGGGAGGCCAGAAGTGGTATTACCTTGTTCTGATCGGGTCGAGCTGAGGAGCTGCTGGCTTCGGCGCTTCAAAGGTGAAGGCTGACCTTGGTGGTAGCTGCATAGTCTCTATCCCGCTTCTGGGTTTTGCGTCTTGTTGCTTCACGTTGACTGCTCCTGCTACAACCCCTAGGCCGGTTTCAACCAGCGCTTGTCCTCGAGAACCAGCACTGGATCCTAACAAGGGAATTTCTTTCCGGGCCTGGAAGTTGCGAGGGCTTCGTCCTCGCACGACAATAGGGGCCGTGGTTGATTCGGTCAGTACAACCTTCGAGTTGTTTGAAAGTGTACCGAATACTTTCAGATGAAGAACGAAATGCTGTTGAAGTTCTTTACGTCGGCCATTGTTGGCGGTCGCACTGTAACCCGGTCAGCTATCTAGAATACTCGGCAGGTCTTGTCTTGAGTAACGTACATTCGGAACTGCAGCCGCCGCCATCCGATGGGGTACACTGCAAACTCCCCGTCTGCCTCGGCGTCCTCTTCTTGAAATGGGATCAATGGAAGGGCCGGTGGTTCTTGATCAGGGCTCTGGTTGAGGTCTGGAAGATTTGGTGGCGGGGTCTTCCAGGGGATGACAATTAGTCGCACGGGGTTCCCATCGACTGATTCAATGGCTGAAATCGTCACCTCCATACTGGTGATGGCCGTGCTCTCCCCAGATTCATTGAGCACGGACAGTTGGCCTCTAGGTGTAATTAGTGATCCGCTTATCTGGAACAAGTTACGACGATAACAAGTCAGCTCTGGCTGAAGAGCAGTGCCATCGTTTGCATTCGCAGGCATTTCCGAAAGGAAGAACATCCCGTGCAGTTGCGCCGATAGCTCTAGTTGCTGCAGTCGCCCGTGTTGATCAGTGATTGCTTGGCTCTCCTGGGACCTTCGAAAGGATAAGAGTTTGTGATCATGGCTTGTCTGTGGTCGCGAGCCATCACCTCGAAGATCCGGGGAGACCTCATGGCCACTCGATTGGTCCGTTTGCGAGAAAGGACGCTTTAGATGATTCTGATACCCGAGATGGGCGCTTGGTCCTGTATGCGACGACCCGTTGTATGGGTCAGCATCTTCGTGAGAGTATCGGCTGTACGAGTATGTTTGCTGGTCGATGCTCGCTTGGTCACTCCTTGCCCGTCCAGAATGCGGCGATGCTGGAGGCGGGTTGGAAAGCCCAGCGTCAATGGAGATCCTCGGCGTCATATGGACCGGTCCACCATAGTTTGGCCAGAGACTAGACGGGGCTGGGTCACCTCTCAAGTCTGGCATAGTAGCCGAATAAGCTGCTGTGGCTGTCATGGGGGCATATCTTTGTAAACCTTTCGCGTATCCAATGGCCCGAAGTTCGCGATACTTCTGGTGTAACTGTCACAGGCGCCAACCCAGAAAAAAACACCCGAGATGGCAGCCTTCCCAAGCCAACCGTCTCGAGGGCACTTCCCGTGTAACTCTCAAGTTGGTGTCTGAACCGCAAACCAACCCAACTTACGAGGATATGATATCAAGTATTGGGAGGTGATTAAAGAAAGACGTGAGGAGACGATGTGTGAGGATGCAGATGCAAGTGTACTTGTATTTGTCAAACTGGAGACCGCGAACGCATGCTGGAGGGGGCGTCTAGTGAAGCACCCAGTACTGGCTAAGGGGTGTAGAAGAGCGCGCTCCATGTACCTTGGCATGGGGCGGGCCTCACTTATGTCGTCTACTAATGGGCCTGGGAGGAACATGAGCCCAAAACAAGCCTTACGGGAAGATTGATACATATCGGCAGGGGGGTCTTTCCACCTCTGATTTATGGACAAGAAGCGCCGGACCGGGTAGTTGAGCACAATCTGGGCGGCTTCAGAGCAAGCACATTGCGCATGCAACTGTTATAGGAAGGAGAGAAAGATTGGAAGCGCAAGTCATGAGACTGTTTGCCAGAGCGTCAAGACCTAGGAGCTGCACATGAGAACCACGAGCGCTCCCTCGAGGTCATTTGTATCGTATGCATTCCGATTTGTGCTCGGCATAGAGGTACCGTCCCTACCAGCGATGCAGAGCGCTTCACTTGTGAGCAACAACCCTCCGCAATGTCCACAAGCACTGCGACGAGGCACTTGCAAGCCAAAAGACTCGACTAGTCGAGAACGGGGCTTCTCCAGACACCCTCCCCTGTCTGCCGAGGGGGGACAAAAAAGAGGAGTCAGCAGAGCCTATACTCAGTAGGGACAGGTCCCCTGATGATGGGCATTGGTTGTGAAGAGATGGCCTATCACAACGATGACAAGCATACACGTACCGGAGACGGGCGGGGGGGCAAGACCGGGGTGCCGAGACTTCGCCCGCGGGCAGGCTGTAAATCAATGCAAAAGTACAGGGCACTTGTCTCGGTATGTACATTCATGGAGGGGCGGACGGTAGGAAGACCAAGGATGGGTGGAGCATCGGCTCAAGAAATCTTGAGGAGGACCTGTCAAAGCCATGTTTGCAGGGGACCCCTCCTTTCCGAGCGAAATCCCTGATGCTAGCGAACCACAAGGAATGGTGGGCTGGATCGTTTCCAGGACGGGGAAAGGTCACAGACAAGAAGAATCCTCCGAAGCCTGTGACAGGCCAATGGTCCGCTCTTTTCCCCGAAGACCGCTGAGCAGAGAGAAAGAGAACAAATGGCAACAGCAGGCAGAACTCGCCGGCATTCGCAAAGCCAGCACAACTCGACATGTCGAGAAAGACGCAGCCTGCCGGCTATCGGAATGCGCGCAAGGTGCAATGCCTCTCGAGGGACATAACCAACCTTGAGGGCGGTCAGGTGTACCAACTCGAACGCGATGAATGCAGTAGGCTAAAGAGCCTCAGAGTCAGGCACCTTTGAGCTAGACTAATAACCCTGCACCTTATATCAGAGATGGTAGGTCAATACTAACGTTGCCCAGACCTTCAAGTGCCGGCTGTCATTCATCACTTGGAAAAGCTAGAACCTTTAGAGGGTCAAATCACTCACCTAGGCTCGATGCGACTGGCCGACGGCCGAATCAACAGGCCTCGGCGGGGCAAAAGCTCGCGGCGCGGTGCAGCCGATGAGGACGCGGATGACACTACCAAGGTGGGGTGTTCATCAATGGGCGATGCGCGCGCAGCGTCAAGGTCACATCCACCCGCATAGTCAATATGCACTTGATCTCTGGGCTTCCCGCGACCCTCGATTCCTCCGTACGTCTCTCCAGCTGCGACGGCGTCTCTACATGGTGAGATAAGCCTCGACGGCTGTACCTACATATGGAGACTGGCCGGTGGAGGCTGAGGATTGATCCAGGGTGAGGGTGCAGGCGAAGGGCACAGAGGTGCAGGAGGTTAGATGCACCGAGCCGCGGTGGGCTTGAGTAAGATGATGGCCCAAACAAGCAGTCGCATCCCATTCGATATATCTCCGTGCCATGGTGGGTTGACGACCGGGTACGGAATTGCATACTAGCGGATAGCATCCAGCATGGTTCAAGGGCGCGATGCTCAAAGTGAATGGCGCTCGCGCTGGTTAATGTTGAACCATTGTTCGCAGGGAACGCACCTTAATTGATGCTGTGTGTCGCTCGCACCCTGGTCCCTCGTCGCCAGAGCAAGGATCAGTGCGCATCCGCCTTGTCCAAGATGTCACAGGTTGCCCACACGCGCATGCATTCTCCAGCACATTAGTGGGAACGGGACAGCTAGGCAGCTGCTGGAGCAGAACCACGGCCAGAAGCCCGGCCGGCACTGTGATAAGAGAGGCATCTCCTCCAGGCCAAGCGCGTCGACAGGAGCGCGCATGCACGCACACACATTGCGGGTAAGCACCAGACGCACGTCGCCGGGGCACAGGATCTCAGCGAGATGACATAACATGACCTGACCTGGCTGGCCAGATAGGATAGGATAGGACAGGAGAGGCAGGGCTGGAATGGGATACGAAGACAGACAGACTCGAAGCGTGGGAAAGCTTCGGGGGAAGAGCACGTCAGTGTACCCATGGAAGTTGCCCGGCGAGGAAGGGGGAGGGGGGGAAGGAGCAGGGGAGCACCATCCCTGCACGGGCTGGTCCCACCTCGCTACTGTACTGCGCAGAACCTCTGCTCTCGCGCGCCAGCCACCGGCAAGGACAGCCAAGGAGGGCAGAGGGCAGAGGGCTGCATGCGAGACAGTGCGAGTGGCCCCTCGAGCACCGTATCAAAGTCCCTTGCACGTGCCACAGTGCCACACCCGTGCCGTGTGCGTCGCATGCTCCTCCTCTGTGGAGGCCAGTGCCTTCCCGCGAGGAGCCCAGTATTATTACTACATATCCCTAGCAGTAGGTCTTTGCCCAGCAAATTACGGACCCACGATCGCGACTTTAAAGGGAAACCTGGTCATGGAGGGTACTAGGTAGGTGGTACAGAGGAGTCGGGGCAGATAAAGGTAAGTGGTAAGTACCTATCTTCGGTAGTTGCGACCGGAGGGTGGCTAATGGAACGTGTCGATCCGGTGAGATTCCCTCGCATCCAACCCTCCAAGCAGCCTAGGATGGGAGCTTGACCCAGGCCACATGCCCCCATCGATGTTGATGATGCTCTCAATCAAGTCTCCCTCTCCCGCCCCGACATGGCCCTTTTCTGTCTAAAGATCCATATGTCGCCCGTTCTGTATTGAGCCAGCCAATGGGGCGCCCCTCGTACATCGGCCGGAGACCAGACTCGCAGCATCCGTAATTGAAGATGCCCGCCACACGGCATGCTGCCAACCACCTTCCTAGTCAAATGGCTCGACTACACTCCTGGCAACTGAAAGTCATCCATCTCGCCAGGTGACCCTTGAGTTCGTCGTCCGGATGAACTCGACAATCTCTTACCCAGATCATGGCTGATATGCGCGCGACTAGCTTCAGTCAACGGCTTGCACCCTCTTATCTCAGATACTTTGCACCCCGGATCAAAGGCGGATGCCAGTCTGGACCAAGAAAGAAGGTACCTAACTCAGTAGTACCCCAGCCATGCTGTTGTGACAGACGTTTGCTGCTGCTCGATCACTTCGCCCCCCTTTTCCATCTCCCCTTCAGAAGCCAAATCCTTGCGTCAATCCAATCATGTCTCTCACACCCCTCTACCCCCCCTCCAAACACCACTCTCTTGCTCATTCATTTACAATCTATAAAGCAAATGAATAATTGAAATATCAGTCAAGCCAGACCTCGGCTACGGTATCATCATCAGCAGAACGGTCATCATCTTAAACCTTCCCGTCGAGCTCTCAACGCAGTTTGTATTGCATTATCATGGCTGGTTTCGTGTAACCAGCGTTGCTAGGCTGGAGATGTTCAAGATGGCATGCAAAAATGCTACGATCCCGCCCCCATCTCAGATCTAATGATCATTTTGGGCACAAGATTGGTGGGGATTCACGAAACATTCAAGCAATCGCGTTGGATTTCACTTGTTTTGTCCTGCTACCCTGGTAGTTACTGGATTGGGAATCAACCAGGACCTTTATCCCACTACTCCGTATTCAGCAGAATGGACAAACTGAGCATCAGTCCAAGATCCCTCTCTTTCCCAGACGAGAACTACGAAGATCATTGCGACATCCGCGTACCAGGTATACTTAGCGCGGCGCGCATGGTCCTCAACAATCGCCCCTCGGCGGAGAGGATATACGGATTGTAAATCTCCCAACCGACAGACTCTATTGCCATAACCATCATAGGCTAGGACGTCACACAAGGAACACCCTGATCATGGGATGGCCTCTCACACGATGCGGTCATTTTGGCCACCGTGATATCAGGCAGGTAGGTTTTGATGGGGCCAGAGGTAGGTGATGGCGACAAAACGGACGATGGCATGCCAGATCTTGCAACGGATGACGAAACTGGTGCTGAGGACAAGAAAGCCTCAGCGTCTGTCAGATGCACATGTCCTACACAAAGCTCAAATGGGGTGGACCGTTGACTGTCAAAAAAGCGAAGCCGCCCGCCCCCCCTGTGAAATCAAGGTTGTCACAACACCAGGCAGAGGTCCAATCGCGACACTCCTCTTAAACATCCTGCGGCCGAGATACTTAGAGCCGGTGTTAAGGTCAGGCTTGACCCCGGCCCCGACCCCAACCGTCCAGGGTGTGGCACAACTACCGCCAGACGCTACCGCAAGTACTATGCAATACTTGCCCGCCTTTGTGAGTGGAAGTGGTGGTGATTTTCCTGTCTGTGGCTGCGATGGGTCGCTTTGCTCTGGTTGGTCGCTCGCTCCGGATTAAGTTGGGCACCCTTGGAAGAACTGCGTGAAGGCTGCAACTGTCATTGGAAAACGGGTTTT